AGATAGATAGATAGATAGATAGATAGATAGATAGATAGATAGATAGAACAAAGGTATTTATTTTACTGACCAACACCGATAGTGTAAGAGCCATCATTTATCTGAATTATCTGAAATGATCAGGATGTATAAACCAGCTTATTGCTGGCAGTGTCTGTTGATGCAAATTTACAAATAAATCATAACTTACTAACATAATATACTTTATTGTACTTATTTATTTATTAGTAGACTTTAGAAAGATAGATCAGTTCAAACAGAAAATGTAATGTAATTTGGTTACAAAAGAAAACAAGCCTGACAACATAGATGACACAGATTTTTAGGAGGTATTTGTCTATTGATTTTTATCCTCATTTACAATAAGGTTGGGAATTGATAGAGATGTATTGGATTTCTAAAGGAAAACAACTGCATCTAACAGTTTACTTTCAAATTACTGTTAGCCTGTGGAACAAATTTATACGTGGATCTAGTTAGTGTATAGTGGGTTGTCATTGAACTTAAGATAGTCTTGATAATTCCATACCGACTTGTGACATACTATTGGCTTTTAATTTACTGTTTTACTCACTTGTGTTTTTTTTTAATTCAGATAAAATAAGCAGCACCAACCCTCGTGTGATTGAGGATCAGAGAGCCAGACAGTTGTGTATTGATGTACGTCATTCATTGTTTTATGAGACCTGTGCCACATATGGGTTCAATGTGGACAGAGTGTTTTCAGAAGGTAAGTTGACTCTCTTTTTCTTACAGTAGAAACTAACGGACAGATGTAGAAAACAGATATGTGTTTTTCAGCTTCCCAGAAGATTGTTGCTCACAAAAAACAGACTGCTTTGCAGGCATGCAAATCTCTTCCTAATTCCCCGAGTCACTCTGGCGGCTCCACACCAGGATCAACGTCTCTCCCCGGACAGGTACAACAGCAGATTTTATAAGTCTAGATCAACTCTACAACATTCCATTACGTGGTACAATGAATTACATATATGAAAACAAAAAACACGTTCCACTAATACCTTCAAAATGTTTACATATTCTTTGCATATTCTAATTTGGTATTAATTTACTGCACAAATGTAGTAAATAGATTAAACATTTTGGTCAGGGCCCTTTATAAAAAAATGTAGTATTCAAAAATTTTCTCGAGCAGCATTTTGCTCCAGCCACCCCAAGACATTAATTATTTGTGGTTATAGAAAGTGTTCAATATGAGGATGAGTGAATTATGTGAACAACCAAATGCTTTGCCCTTTACCACCCCTCTGAAACTTTGTAATATCTTAAGATGTATAGTTCACATGTACAGTTCACATGGTAAATTTTGAATGGTAGAATGTGAACAACTGCAAACACTATGATGGCCAACTTGTTACAAACTGATCGTAACTGCCTAAAAAAATTGAGGCCGAAGAAAATAATAATGCTTGACAAAGTTTTAATTATTAATAATATTAGACAGGAACTATTTATTCAAGTCTAAACACCATCAAATGAAACTGACGAGAGACTACTGGGCTCTGAGATGTGCTAAATGAAAGAAAACAGAAATATATCTTGAAAAAGAACATTTATTCGCAATATTCAATCATGACAATGATCCATAGTCTTTTATGCACACTTATAAGCAATAAACAAGTAATGCACAAAATATTTTCCTCTAAAAAAATATACAAACCTTGATACCCAAAACCCAATGGGTGTTTTATAGTGTATAATGGCTAAATAACCTCCACTGTACTAAATAGTAAGATATTACAGTTCATGGTGCATGCATGTGCAATCACATTTTCACATGCTTAAACAAAGGTGCAAGTATTACAGTTCCTGTGCCATCATACACTGATTTTCCTGGCCAGCATTGCCACCATTACAAGAGTACTTGCACAAACAATATGTGTTTTATAACATATTGGACAATATCTTTCAAAGGTGCAGCTGCTTTAAATCAAAGCATTATATCATGTTTTAAACTGTAATCTAATTTTGCAAAGTGTCTTCATTATGTTTTATAACATTTTCTGTCATATTCTGTCAATATTCATCCACTTTATTTCTTTATTTGGATGTTTTCTCATTACTGAACTCACCGTTCTTTTTTCCATCTTCATCTCGCTCCATTCCCTTGTCACCTCTGCATCCTAAACTGATGACCCCCCCCCCCCTCCACCCCCCCTCCACGTACTCAAACACTACACTGCTTCTCTCAGGCCAGTAATGGCCGCTGTAGTGGCTATGCGTACTCTCTCCCCTCCACCCCTGTGGTTGGTCATAAAGAGCTGCGGGTTGCTCAGGTAGAAGGGGGATGCAACGTCAATTCACGCTCACTAAAAAGCATCCCAAGACGACCCTCCCTGTTTAAGGTCAGTCACCACAGACAGTTGGAATCTCTTGCATTTAAATGTCCTGCATTTCCAAAAACATTTCACTCCATTCATCCATCTCTGACTCCTGCAGTAAAAACTATGTTTTCTAAACAAACCCTTGTATTTGAATTGTTACAGAACCGGGACGTGGATAAAAAACCTGTGGACCCTAAAGACCAAAGTAATATTAGAGGTGTTCCAATAAAACAGGTATGTACTACCTTCGCAGTAGTTGTTGTACTTAAGCAGAATTTGAAATAGTCAGAGTTCAATATTTATTAATTGCAGTTATATTTGTTATGGCTTCAACAGAGCATCCTGTGGAAGAGAAGTGGTAACTCTCTAAATAAGGAATGGAAGAAGAAATTTGTTACCCTGTCCAACAATGGCACACTTTCCTATCACTCCAGTGCCAGTGTAAGGACACAACATGACATAAATCAAAACAGCAGCAAAGCATCAGTAAACATCAGTAAACAGTTCCCAGGGTGAAGATGATATCCACTGATTGACACATTAAACAGACATTTAAATTACATTTTTATTTCCATATCTTGAATTCTGTTTTTATCCGACCAATTATTACAGTTGGTAAAGATTGTTGTCAGTTTAAAACAATAAGCTATTTTCTTAAAAGGCAGACACACCCACTATGTATGAGATAATACATGACAGTATATCTCACATAACAACTTGTATACTGACTCTATGGAAATAGTAAAACATTGCAGCAGCACCTTACAGACTCCAATACCCCTCTCAGATTTCAGATTATATATGATGGAGGATAACGCAGAGAGACCAATCACAATTTTTAAAAATCATTGCAGAATATGTTGACAATGAATGGTGTGGTTCATGGCTCATTATCAAGAAATATTTTGATCGTTTTCAGGACTATACACAAAATATCCATGGAAAGGAATTTGACCTCTTGCGTGTGACAGTCAAAATTCCTGGAAAACGTCCTCCTAGAGCTGTAATACCTACAGGCCCCGGGCCTGTCCCCCCAGGGAATTCTTCTGGTGTTAATGGACTGTGTAAGGAGCTAACAACATCTGATAGTACAACAACAGGTAATTCTACTTGTGAACATGTAAACAGATGTACAGGTCACTGTAAACTTCTGTCTATCCCCCAAATTTTCCTAGTGAAGGTGGTCTCCGTAGGTGTATAGAATTTAGAATGACATCAACCTTTGTTAATTTGTTGTGTTTCCCTGATAATGATCAATTCTATATTTTTCTCATTTGAGAAAAATAAGATCATCAAATTAAGATGATCTATTATGCCACAAAATAAGAGAGTAACACCACCATCTATAAATCAGAGAGATTTCCAACTTAATTACTAAAAGACACTGGTTTTATTCATTATTAAGAAAGAGAATCGTTATATACTGTATCTTGAAGATAATAACCCCACTACGAAAGCTCCATGCAGCCCTTCAACATATGCCTTGCAATAAAACCTCTGGTCCAGATGGTTTTCCAGAACTGTTCCACACAGAATCTTTTACTGTTTAGTACCTATATTAGTCTTCAAAGTAAAAAAGAATGGTAGATTATTCTTAAGCATAAATTTTGGTTATACTATTCCACTGAAAAACAAGGAAATATCCTGTACTTTCATCCAGTTACCGCCCCATATCACTAATTAATGTTACCAGAATCATTTGTAAATCCCTTGCCAAAAGAAGAAAAAAACAAAAACAAACCCCCCTTTTGATGCATCCAGACCAGACAAGCTTTTTAAAGGGTTTATAAAGAGTAGAAACCCCGCTAATATGCATGGGATAATTAATTTATTCAACAACGAACTACTTGGAATTCATTTTTTATATAGATGCTAAAAAGATGTGTTGCATCAAGTGAACTGGAAATTTTGATTGCAGCAATAAAGTTTGGGATTGGCTACATTGACTGGATAAAGAGACTACACAGTTCTCAAAATGCATGTGTTAGACAAATGATCAAACTTCACCAAGCTTCAGTTACTTTTTGACATTTTTATTGAACATTTAGCAGCTGCTATCATACAACATGAAAATATCAAAAACATCTAATCCAAAAGTATGATGCATAAAACCAGCCTTCATAATAATTTGCATTATTTTTCATTCATAACTCATGGGCAGCTGTCGGTCACATGATCACACTTACGAATAAATTCTCAGAATTTTCAGACTCCTCTGTATATTGATCTGAGTCCACAGTTTTGTCAGTAAACTGTAGTTTCCAGAAAATACCTGACATCCCTTTACAGTCAGGAAATATTAGATATTTAGGAATAAACATTTCCTTTAGGATCTCAGAACTATAAAACTAAATTATATTCAGTTATCTTTTAAAAACAATAGAGGATGCTCTCACAAGATGGAAGTCACAAGCCAAATCACTCATGATGACGGTTTCTACCATTATAGTACTACCAAAAATCATCATACCACTATACCTACCTTAACTACTCGTTCTGTACTTGCATTTATCACTTCGCTGTCACCACTGACTCTGATTCGGGGTTTTCCTTTTGAGAGCTTATCATCAGATTGATAATAACTGAAACATTGTGTCAAGCGTCTGCTAAATACATAAACATAAACATAAATACAGTCCAAAGGATGAGTCATGACTAAATGTAGAAAAAGTACATTGTAAAAACCAGAAATCTCTGAATTGCTAAAAGTCTTTACTTTTCCCATGTACACATAGATCCATCTGGAAAAATCCTTGATATCCTGCTGAATAAAAATAAACTAAATGTTATTCTATTTAATAATAAAGGAATAAACGATGTAGAACATATCATCCTTTTTTTTTATTGAATGTGCATCAATCACAACATGAAAATGGCAGCAATACATTCCTAGAATATCAACTACTAACGGCAATAATAACTAAGTACATTTTCCACCAACTGGAATCCAGAAATATGCATGTTATGTTAATTGAACACTAAATTGTTCCAAAGAGAATGTGAGAGTGTATTGTTGTTTGTCTAAGCGTGGTCCTGTGATGGACTGGCAACCTATCAAGGATGTACACTGCCTTCGCTCCGTGTCAGCTGGGATAGAATCCAGACTTCAAGTGACCCTACTGGGAATGATTGTCTGAATTTCACTCTCTGGTCCCACTGATTAGCTTCATCT